ATTGCCCCGGGTTCTGGCTTGCAGAGTGGCAGCTCCAGCAGTTAGTCTAGGGCCTCCTGCCAGCTTGTCTGCATGGAGGCACAGCAGGCAGAGTGACCTGTCAACCTGAGCCTTAACGAGCCTTCTCTGGTGATCTGTCCCAGGAGCCTGGCGGTCCCAGGAGCCCTGCCGTGTTCGGCTCCATCATATCCTACATTGAGCAATTTTTTGAGACGGTTGGAATTTCTCTGGCAGAACGACAGGTACACCCTTCTCTTTTCAGTCCTCAGTGGTGGGATATTTACAGGCCAATCCAATAAGAACTGTTTTTCCCCTTTAATGGATACTTATAAATGCCGATTTATACACTCAAAATACATTACATTCCTTAAAAAGTCAACACTCAGAGCTAATATCTTAACTGAAACAATTCTGAGAAGCAGCAGTGCATTTTAGCTACAGAGCGGTGTGTCATCAGTTCTGTACACACTCATTTTTATTTTTATTATGTTTGTTTAGAAAGAATCTAAAAATGTACAGACAGCTGTACTGTAAGGATGTTTTTCCTAAGCCACCTGAGTCAGCTGAGAGCCCAGCCCCCTCACTGTGTCTCTAACACACAGGAGCTGTCCAGCCCCCGCCCTTTGGGCTCCCCGGGCTCCCCAGTCTCCCCAGGAGCCCTTTGTGGTAGAGCCCAGTCAGGACTCGAGGTTTTCAGCTGTCGGCCTAGCCTGGTACTTTCCCATCGGCCATGTCTTCGAGGGGCCTGGTTGCTTTTGGAGAAAGGTGGTCAGAAGGCAGGACCTAAGTGCCAGGTGTGCTCATTGTGCTTGGGCCATAGCTGCTCCGGGCCCATGGTGGCAGAGAGGGAGAAGAGTGTGGGCATACTGTGCGCACGGCATCCAAGTTCAGTTCTGTTTCACTCTACATTGACTAAAACTCAGGGGTTACCACCAACACTTCAATTCTGGTCCCCAGCAAAGGGTTCATTCTGCTTCCTCACTTCCCATACAAAAGTGACAGTGAGAAGCCTGCTTTCCAGTACCCTAAACGAAGTTCCTTAGGTGTTCTTCTCCCAGTACATACTCTCCCACTGTGGGACGCCCCCTCCCTCACTGGAGCTGACTCCCGTCCCTGCCTGGACACCCTTTGCACCCAATGCTGTCCCCTCAGCAGGCTGCCTCTGCATGGACACTCCACAGGGCTCTGCGGCCCTCCACCTCTCCACGGGCCCACCTTGCTCTGCCTCACATAATGGCTTCAGGACTGTTAAAGACGGGGAAAGTAAAAGGCTAGGAGAGCCATTTTAGACAACACTGCATGTGAACAGGTTAACGGGAAAGGTCGGATTGCATATGGCAGTGACCATCACAGGCCCTGGAATCACCCTTCCTCCCAAGTTCTTTTACACTCCGCCAGGTTCTGCTGCTGCCACTGGGCTGGGGCATGGGACAGCTGCTCACGGCTTTGAAGGGGTGGGGCTGCCCTGTTAGCTCAGTTGCCTGGCACGAGGGGGAGCCCACCACTTGGGGAGGTTCAGTTGGAGGTGAGAGTCATGGAGGTCTGGCTCCTAGCTGCCTACCTGCTGTGATCTGGGGTCCTCCCCTGTGAGCTGGGGCACATCTCTCACAAACTTTAAATACAGTGAATTTCTGACCTTAACACAAATTGCAGTGTCTTTGTGATAATTCCCAGGCTTGCTTTAGTAATAGATGTCAGGTAGACAATGTCCTTTCCTGAGCAGTCCAGGGACCATCAGCCAGCTCAGACAAAAGTGACTGGTCTGTGGTGACAAGTTTTGCACGGTCTGTATTAATTTTCACATGAGATGCCCCAGAATCAGTTATTGAGTAGGAAAAGGCAGACTTGGCCAAGTTGTGCCTGGCCTTTGTCAGAAATAGCTCCTTCACCTCCCACCTCAACGGCTGACACTGGAGCCCACTTTGGGCTGTTTTTCGGGGAGGAGGGGGGTCATGGTTTTATAACAAGAATTATCTTTACCAGGCTCCTCAGAGAAATGGCCTATTGCTGGCTTGGTGCAGAGCAGTATTTGAGGACCTGTGAGGTTTAAGAAGTTTGACCCAAAAGTAAAGGGATGTGGGTTCTGTTCCTTCTTTTACACATGTGAACACAATAGCCACTCGATCCCTTCTCCGTTATGGAGGAAGGAATTTTGTAGAAGGGGGAGAACTTCTGGCAACTTGGAGTGGCGTAAATCCCATTTGACTTGTTGAAAATTCTCCAACAGGCCTGGCCCCTGAGATTACGCTGAGGCGGTGCTCTGGGTGGCATTAGGGACTCTGCCTGGGTGAGAGACATTCAGGAAAGGGGACACGTCCCAGTAGCCCGCAACCTCACAGTCTCTCTTCCCAGAAGTGCCGGGGTGGGGGTGGGGGGGAGATGCTGGATGGGCTTAGCACAGAACTCACTGGTCCCATCAGCCCGGCAGCTGTCTGGGCTGCTAGCAGGATCTCACTGGTTACACTTCTCTGCCTGGTGCAGTTTGTTTCAGGGGACAGCAGCTCAGCCACGCTGCACAGCGTGGTGGAGGAATTGGTCCGATTCCGGCTCAAGGTCCGGCAGTTCGCCCTGGCCACGGGAGAGGCTACCAAGGAAGCCCGGCGGCAGCGGCTCCTGGAGAGGCAGCCCCTGCTGGAGGCGTGTGACACACTGCGCCAGGACCTTGCCGCCCACGGCATCGGTATTAAGGTGAGCCACTGCCACCGAGGCCCGGTGTCAATGGGAATGACCACCCTGAGATGCTGTGCAAACCAGCTGGCTCACACAAACATGGGGGAGGGGCCAAGCTCAGATCCCCTGTGATAATGCTGCTTGTGAGCAGATACTCATCCTGTGACGAAAAGGAAGGCATGGGGTCAGAGCCAGGAGGGACACTGAGATGGAGGGACCTGGGAGAGGGTCAGAGTCAGAACCTGGAGGGAGACTGTGGCCCCAGGACATGTGTACTCCAGCACCTGCTGGAAACGGAGCAGACCTGTGCTCTTGCCCGGTCCTTCCTGCCCCAGCCTGACAACGGAAGGCAGCAGCTGACCGTCCCTAAGCATCCAGCTGCTTCCTGTAGTGCGGCCCAGCAGGCAGTGCCTCCTGTCACTCTGAGCCCCGACTATCTCACCCGTTTACTCCTTGAGCGGAGAGAGCCTGCTCAGCCGGACCTTTTTCCCCCCCACCCCAGGACAGGAGCAGCACATCCACATGGGAACTGCTGGGTCAGAGGTCAGAAGACCACAAACCTGGGAGCTGAGGATGCGTGAAGCGGGAACCACAGGCTCACAATGCGGCTCTGTGTTTACTGAAGTCCCTATAGAAGCTTTACATTAAAGTTCTACATTGTGACTATTTAGTCAACATTAAAATAAATCAAACTGATTTTCCATTGGTGTGTTAGTAACTATGCTTAAAAATGGATTTCTTTATAGTACCAACAGCCACAGACTCAAGTATAGTTCAGTTAAATCAGTCATCATTATCATCTGTGATAACCCAACCAGCCAGAGCCCAGGATGTAAGTCAAATGGGGGTCCCAGAAGCCGCCATAGGAAGGTAGGTGGGACCTGCGAGTGGGGCCAACAGGGCAGCAGCTTCCAGGACAGCCCTTATCCCAAGAGGATCTTGGGGGGTGGGGAGGACTGCCATGCTGCCTGCTCCAAAGCAGGAGGAAACAGCCTATGCCTCGAGTGCTGGGCAGAGACGAACTGGGGGGTGGTCACTCTGGAGGAGTGGGACGGCAGGGGTACGAGCAGCACACAGAGGTGTGACAGAGGAGGCCAAGGCCAGGGGGGCGAGCACACACCAGACTGCCTGGGACCGAGCTTGCTGGCCTTGATCTCGGTCCCCTCACCTTTCTGCACAGTGGGAAGCTATAGCTGTTTGGTGAACCAGAAGGAAAAGGTGACCCTATTGCCGATTCTCCCAACTCTCAGTCCTGGCTGGGTGCAGCCTCAGGCAGCAGGTAAGCCCCATGCCAGGCACATTGTAGATAGCCTGGTGTGGCTCTGCAGCGTGTTTGTCATTGACGTTCATGTCCCTCAGAGGCATTTCTCTTCCATAGATAAGGAAACCTGTTCAGAAGCTGACATGCTAAAAGTGACTCAATTAGTGCATCGTGCGTGGTAGAGTGCAGACCCAGGTGGCAGGCAGCCCCTTAGAGACAGCCAGCCAAACCGGTCGAATCAGTACTGGGGAAGCAGACTGTCCCCTGTTGGCCAGACGCCTAACTTGCCCACCAGCAGTTCGGTGCTGCTTTCCTGGTCTCAGGGAAGCTGCCAGTAAAAGTGTCCTTAGCTGGACTTGTGAGGATGCTTGGGTTTGTAGGGGTGTCAAACTCAATCAGAGAAGGGGCCAAAATCTAAAATCCAGCCTAAATCGCGGGCTGAATGGTTTACTGAACAGTCATAAACTGTCATTGTGATGGAAACGCAGCGGAGTGCAGTGATGACAGCGCGGTGCGGGCCACATTGCAAGGCCTGGCGGGACGGATTTGGCCCGCGGGCCTTGTTTGACACGTGGTTTAGAGAATAAGGAAGCAATTGCTAACTTCATTTAAAAGTAGCAGTTCATGGTTACTTGGGAATATCCTATCTCCCTTTTAAGCAGAGATTTTGTACTTAGAGCAAAAACTTAAGTAACAAATACATAGGAACAGTTCCTATGATTGCTAAATTTTATATATAAAGAAACGGTGACATTTCAGGCTTATGCCTCAAATTATTTATTTTAGTACATTGGTTAAGCACTGGTGAAAAACACATTAGATAGATAAGCTTATATATGTTTTATGTCCCTAATACCTAACAATGTCCTCAACTTAGGAAGCTGAAAGATGCCGAAACCAGTTTGGCTCAATGGATAGAGTGTCGGTCTGCGAACTGAAAGGTCCCAGGTTCGATTCTGGTCAAGGGAATGAATGTATCTTGGTTGTGGGTACATCCCTGGTAGGGGATGTGTGTGCAGAAGGCAGCTGGTCGATGTTTCTAGCTCTCTGTCTTTCTCCTTTTCTCTCTGTAAAAAAATCAATAAAATATATTAAAAAATAAAATAAATCTCTATATTGAAATAAACCAGGTATGCCTTTTAATAATTAAAAACTCATGGCTGGTTTAAAGAAAGTATCATTGGTTTGGGGTGACATATCTGAACAACAGAGCTTCACCAATCATCAGGGGTAGACAAACTTTTAAAGGAACCAGCATTATTAAATAGTAAGAGTACTCTCAAGCGCATGTCAGAAACCAAACCCCACAGAGAAGACAGAAAAACAAGTCTCTCTCAGGCCACAAAGAAAACAACACAACCAAACAAAAAAAAAGAGAACCAGAGGCTAACAAAACAAAACGTCTCATTTACAACAATTTCAGATATATCAACTTCTTTAATGGAATTTAAATCTTCCTGAGGACATACCAACCCATTTCCCCCATTTCCAAACCAGAAAGCCTACGGTTCTGCTCTGTTCCGTCCCCCCCCCAGAGCCCCATCATCCGATGCCTCCTCCCCAGAGGAAACACCAATGGCCACATGAGGAACTCGGCACCCCTCCCACTCATGGGCACTCTGCTGGGCCTCGCCAGCACGAGAAAGTGCAAGTGTAAGATATGAAGTATTCCGCCAAAACCGGTTTGGCTCAGTGGGTAGAGCGTTAGCCTGTGGACTGAAGGGTCCCAGGTTCGATTCTGGTCAAGGGCATGTACCTTAGTTGCGGGCACATCCCCAGCAGGGGGTGTGCAAGAGGCAGCTGATCGATGATTCTCTCTCATCGATGTTTCTAACTCTCTATTCCCCTCTCTTCCTCTCTGTAAAACAATCAATAAAATATATTAAAAAAACAAAAAAAAAAAAGATACGAAGTATTCCAGAGCCCCACCAGGGCATTCAGGTATCAATGTCCCATTAAGTTTCCTTCTCAGATTTTCCCATGGTGCCTCCAAAAAGATTTCCAAGGTCAAACTGATTACAGATTATTCTAATACTTTAACCAATTAACCAAAACAACCAATACTTAGTATTTCTGCCCAGACCTTTTCAACATAATCACAGTTTAAAAAATAAAAATGAGCTAAATAATAAATGCCACATCCTTTGGTGGATCTCAATTTAAAAAAAGCAAATCTCATTATTCTCAAAGCTATTTGGAAACGAACGACTGGATGCCTTTGAGAGAAATATCTAATGAGGGGAACTTCTTGCACAAATGCCTACAAGTTCAGTTGAACTGTGAACTGGTTAAAGACTTTCTCATTTTCAAGTGATTATCCATATTTTATTATTGTTTAGTGTCATAATGTCTCAAACTGTGTATTAATTTAGCCAAAAATTGCTCATTCCCAACTCTTACATTCTCTGCATCAACCCATGCAGCCTGGACTCCAGCCTCCTGAGCAGCCTGTGCGCTCTGGTGCCCAGAGGATCCAGACACACTGGGCGTGGCCTTTCCCACTGCAAATGCGGTTTCTCCCACCATGGTGCTCACTTCCTTCTCGTTTGCATCGGCTCAGGTTTCGAAGAGTCTGCTGAATGCAGGTCCAATTTCTGGGATCATGTCGGAGGTAGTGGTGGAGCGGCCGTACTTCTGGAAGGCTTGGTGGCTGCACTGCCTTGTGAGGGAGCACGCACCAAAGGCAGCCACGAGGGGAGGGCTGAAACTGCAGGGCAGAGACATTAGCAAGGGGCTGTGGGAGGTGGGAAGTCCTCCCTCCACGGCTTCCTCAGACATCAGGGACCTGAAGCCACCGAGGCGCTGATTTCCTTCCTGTTTCCACGGAGACCCCAATTTGGCAATTTCTCGTCTGGTATGCCACTGAGGCATAAGCAGCTTTACTAGAGTTAAAATAACCATTAGTCCTCTGATACTGATATTCCCTGACAAAAGGCATATCAAAAATACCTGTCCACCTGGAGAAAGGGGAGAACACAGCAGTTTTCCCCTGGTGAAAACCAGACCAGGGCTTGCGGATTAGCATTTAGAAGTAGGGAATATTCCAAACCTGAGAATGCAGGTTCTTCCTAACATCACTAGACTTCCGCTGTAGCTCCTGCCCATGCGCACACGTGGCGATGCTCTCTGCCTGCCAGGTGTGCTACACCCTCACAGGCCCAACACTGCTTTACCAGGTGTCAGGCAGGGCCCTCCAGATCCAGGACATCCCACCCGGCGTGCTGGCCTTCTGTCATCATGAAGGTTGTAGGAAGAGAAACTGAGGCTCACAGAGGGATGGGAGCGACCAGAGTTCACTTACAAAAAGCTAAGAGCCGAAGTGGGCCAAAGCCCAGACCCTAGAATTCTGTTCCTCAAAAACAAAACAAAACTCTCTCAAAGCTCTACCTCCACCTGCGTACTTTTTATTCTTTTATAATAGGTATGCAACGAACCTTCTACAACAGTGTCCTAAAACGTGGCTGCACATTAGAATTACCAAGATAGTTTCAAAGGCTAGGGATGCCCCAGACCCTACCGGTATTGAATGATGGAAAGGGGCCCAGATTTAAGGAGTGGAAGCTCCCCAGGCGAACATTTAGGGATCAACTCCTGCCCTGAAATATCTTCCACGTGACAGTAACACCAATACTTCATTTGGAACGTTCCAAGGAGCTATTTATGAAATGTATGAGCTACTAAAATAGCTTACATAGTTCAAACATTTCAAAGTGGGATAGATGAAGATGTGGCTATACCCGTTCATTTTCTCAGGTCCGGCATGGAGTGCCCACTGCACCATAACACCCAGGAATCCCGACAGGAGGTCACCTTGCCCACCACATCTGCGGTTACTGCCCTGGAGGTTGCATTCGAGAACTGCAGAGCAAAAGTGAGATGGGTGTTAGAGCGAGTGGCTTTTCTCTGCTCAAGGTGTGTTCCAGATCACCTACCCTAACCCTAACCCCAATTGTTCTTAACAAACAAGCCTGTGTTTTCCAGGAGAGGAAACTGAGGTAGGCAGAGGTCTGGCTGCCCCAGAACCACCTGGTTAGTATCTTGGTCAGTAGACACATGACTCAGCCACTGAGGGATCTGCTGATGGAGATCAGAGAAGAACAGGCACAGCACCTGCGGGCCCTCAGTCCTGCAGGACACCTCACCCCCCAGAGAATCCACCTTCATGGACATGCACACAACGCTAGCGCCTCCTGAATGGGATAATCCTCATGACTTCATTTCTGTTGTGTAATGAGAAATTTCTATTTCTTTGGAAAATGTCTTGGAAACATGTTATATGTTCTGAGTGTGTGAGAGCACCATCCAGCAATAAAAGAACACAAAGGTTTCAAGATCCCTCAGAGAACACTACTCCGTCTCCTGCCCAGCATGCGAGAGAGACAAAGTGAGACATAGGTGACTAAGGATGCCTTCTGTTCTCTGTTGGCCCTGACTTCAATGATCTAGTCAGCAATTCTATACCTAGACGACTGTTCTTCATATTAAATCCTCTGGCGTATTTTTTGTCTGTGGATCAGATTTTTCTGTTTTCAGGGAGCTAGAGATGTTACACAATCTCTGGTTGTGTAGATATGAGCAAGTATGAGAGTCCATTTTGCTCTCACTAATGGGTCTACAGACTCCTGTGAAAAGAATGTGACCAGAAGATTTGTCACATTCATCACATAGTGATTCCCACCACCAGTGTCACTCCTGGGGTTTCTTCACTTTTTTAAAAATAAAATAGGACAAAATGCAGTAAAATATTCAGGTAACTTCATGTATGTTGCAGGCAACACAGAGGTGGCAGGGAGTGAACTCTGAAGCACCACCTGCTATTAGAGCCACCTTCCCACTGGGCTGCTGCTTATCAATCGTTAACAGAACTTTACCCACTGCACCCGGTATCAACTGGGATCAACACTGAGCCTGGTATCACTTCCCTTTGCAAAACAGTGAAAAATGAAAATGGACTTTGAAGAAGGCGTGGCTAACAAGCTCATCAGAACGTACCTCTGTTTGTGGAACATGTGATGCGTATGGTGTGTGAGCATGTAAGATATAAGGGATCACATGTGACGTGCGAACATGTGAACAAGGTTTTCCTAGGGCTGTACCCACAGGGCCGCACTTGGTGAAGCCCAAGGCCACTCACCCTGTTCGCCATCGGAGATCACGTCCTGCTCCCCCTTCTGGACCACAGTCACATTCCCCAGGGCCTGACTGAGTCTCAGCCCAGCTCCGCGGCGATCACTGCTATCCACAGGGTCTGTCAGCTACAATGCAGGACACCGCAGGCAAAGCTGTCGTTAGACACTTGACAGGAGCCCACAAGTGTGGATACAATGAACATCATCCTGATCCTCAGACTCTCATATCTGAGGGAATCTCCCAGCACAAGACAACCCTCCATACAAAGACACGTTCCATCCACCATCCGAAGGCCTAGGAGGATGCCAGCACAGGGGCTTTAGAAATATTGCTCTGGTGCCCCCCTACCTTGTCAGATCATAGGTAAAGAGCACGGCCCTGGCTGGGATTTTAAAGGTCTGCAGAAGGGATTCAACTTCAAATGTAATGCACTAATATTTATGGAGCACTTGATATGTAAGGACTCGTGAATTTACATGAATTATTTCATCTCATCCTCACATACACTATGAGGCAGATGCTCTCATTACCCACCTTCCACAGGTGAGGTAATGAAGGACAGGGATGGAGTTATCTGCCCAAAGTACACAGTAGGAGGGGCGACTGAGCCGAGCACACCACCCTGCCTTTCCTCCAATCAAAGATGCACTGGTTGGAAGAGGTCCCATAATTACACACACCACCAGGAGAAAACCACAACTGTTAGCACATGAAAAATGCATCGTAGAAAACGTACGCATCCGCTCCACACCTGCAAGTCTGTCCCTGCAGACCCTCCCGAGGGGCCCATAGGTGCAGAGCCACAGAGCGTGTCGCTTGCCCCTCCTCAGGATGAGAAGGGCTTGCGCTCTGTGTTTCCAGGGGTCAGCAAACTCACCACGGCTTCCAAGAGCCTGAGGAACTCCACGTGGTTGGGAGTGAGAACGGCCTTCCTGTAGCCTTGGATGAGGGTCGGCTGCTGAGCTATCAGCCACAGCCCGTCCTGCACAGAATAAGGACTCCCCTTTACTGCACGGCCGTGGGCACCCGGCTACGAGGGGACAGGAGAGGAGAGGCCACACTCACTGCATCAATGACAACAGGGATGGCTCTGGCCTTGGATGCTTCTAAAATGCCCTGTGAGAAAAGAGAGCTATGCTGAGCAACAAGGCCATCATCTCCGAGGAATCAAGAGAAAACCAAGCAGTTCCTTGATGAATTTCAACATTAGCTTATCAATAAATAGAAAGCAAATAATAAAGTAATTGCCTAAATAAACAGAAAAGGTTAAAATGAACCAATAGGGCACAGGTAACTCTCAAAACATAAGCCCACGGGCAACATTACACACAGTGCTGGGTCCCAGGCTAGCCCACGAAGGCCAACTCCAAGCTAGTGTCCTCAGATTTCTAATAGATACTAATCCTCAGGGTTCAGAAATGAGAAATCGGAAGTCCTGGGAATTCCCCAAATTATCAGCTTTTCATATTCATGAGCTTTATGTATTTTTCACACAGCTTTTACGTATTTTTTCACTACATGTGTTTTACAATAATGTGGTCATAATAATAAAAAGAAAATCATTTCTCTCTGAAAAGGTTATACTCAAATTTCCAGAGGTTTTTTGCTAAAAAAATTAAAAATTTAAAAAATATATAGGGTGTGGCAAAAGTAGGTTTACAGTTGTGAGTAGGCAAAGCAGTTTATTCTTGTATTATTTATTAACTAGAGGCCCAGTGCACAAAATTTGTGCGGGGGCGGGGGGGGGGTAGGTGTGTCCTTCAACCCAGCCTGCATCCTCTCCAATCCTGGGAATGTCCAACTGCCTCTCACAATCCGGGACCACTGGCTCCTAACCACTCACCTGCCTGCCTGTCTGATTGCCCCTAACCACCTCTGCCTTGCCCCTACACCCGGGACCCAGGATTCTCTCTTCTGGCAGGTCACAGGCACCAGGACCCGGGTTTCCCTCCCTCTGGGCAGCCACAGGCACCCAGGACCATGGGGCAGGCGGCTTGTCCCTCTCCTGGGTTGGAGCCCCAGCCACTGGCTCCTGGGATGCAGGGCAGGTGGCTTGTTCCTCTCCTGGGCTGCAGCCTAGCTGGATCCCTCTCCCTCCAGTGTTGAGTGTCTGAGCTGTTAACTTATGATAGCATGATGACCATTTACATATTAACCCTTTATTATATAGGACTGTATTATCTTCTATATGAACAACTGTAAACCTACATTTGTTCCACCCTGTATATATGATCAGCATGTGGTTGCTTATTATTATTAATCAGTAGAGGATTACATATTGCATTAGCATGTAAAAACCTCTACCTTATACACGTGATAGAAAACCATGAGAGAATAAAACAAAATATATGGTAAGCAGAAATAACTTAAAACATTGAAAGATAAATCTCTATATGTTTAATAATTAAAAGTGATAGTCCTGAAAATGAAACGTGAAAGCCCACAAAGCATGAGCTGCCCTGCCCAACAGTCTCATCGGACTTTGCTAAGACTGGTTAGAATTGGGAGCATTTTCAAAAGCCCCTTCAAGGAGGTATCCGGGTCTGGGACCCTCATGGAAGCCCATTTCCTTCTTTAACAATGAAAAGACTCTGCTTGTATTTAGTTTGGCTTGACTGTTAAATCTGATTTGGCTTTTGCTGATTCAGATTTCTGAATCTCTGGTGTCATGTTTGAATCTCTGTTCAGTGTTTGGCCACAACACTAACATGTTCACCTATTTGTATTTTTCTTATTAAAGTTCTCAAAAAACAAAACCAAAAGCCACAGTAGTCTAAAGTGAATATTCAAACATTGGGAAATATATAGGAAAAATGTAACATCATGAAACACTCTGGTCTCCTGGCATGGTTTAAGAGCACCATACAGAATCATGCATCAAAGCCACCTATTTAAGTACTGACTTGCTTCCATCACTCAGAGAATTTGTATGAAGTGCACTGTGCATTTAAACCTGTCAGCATTTACTGCATTTGCAACAATGGCTGACGACAGTTAGCATCATCAGTCAAAGCCACAAGTACACACTTATACAAGGCCACAGTTCCAAGTGAGACTGACTGATGACATTACTACCACTCTCCAAAACCGCAGCTTCACCCACCATCTCGTTAATAATCTAATCTAAGAGAAGAATGGCACAGGAATGAACAGATCAGAAAAGACTGGCGAAAGGTTGAGAAGCAATGCAACATCTCCAATAGGACACAGTTAAAATAAAACAAGGAGTGCCCTGGCCGGTGTTTCTCCGTGGTTAGAGTGCACCAAGGGATCACGAGTTCAATTCCTGGTCAAGGGCACATACCTAGATTGTAGGTTCAATCCTGGCTCTGGAGGCAGCCAATCGATGTCCCTCTCATATAGATATCTGTCTGCCTCTCCCCCATCTCTCCCTTCTACTCTCTCTAAAAAGCAATGGAAAAAAAATACCCTTGGGAGAGGATTAATAACAACAACAAAAAAAATAAAATAAAGCAGTTAAGAAAATTCAAAGGTCTCAACCTCAACTGCCTTTAAACAACAACAACAATAAAACAACAACAAGCATTCTCATGTAAAAAAAAAAGACCAGGTGGAAGTGAGAAAGAATGACAGCACCCCAGAGCAGTGTCCCGGCAAGGACAACCTGATAGTGGAACAGAGGATTGCTAACAGCACTTTATTCAGCAACAAAAATTGCAGAATTTACCCTAAAGAAAATACCTAATAGAAATAGACAAGTGTACATATACATATACATATGCACACATATACATACACATATATATATACACATTTTTTGAATATTTTCAAAATATATATGTATATTTTCAAGACATTATGAATAGGAAAAGCTATAAATAGCCTAAATGGACTAAATGCATATTGTATATTGTGATGTAGCTATTAAATTATTTAAAATAAAATATTAAATATTATGATAAATATATGGTATGACATAATAAATATAAAGGAATTTAACAAATATAAAATACATAATATAAAAATTAAATAACTCACATGGAAATGCACAGGACCCAGAATAGCCAAAACAAGCTTAAAAAGAAAAATGTTCAAGTGCTCCACACTTTTCCCACTTCAAAACTCACAGCACAGCTGTAGTAATGAAGATTGTGGTGCTGGCCCAAGCGCAGCCATACAGGCCGATGAAACAGAAACAAGAGCCCAGAAATAAACCCTTCCATTTGTCAACTGATTTCCAACAAGGATGCCCATGTAAGTCACTGGAGGAAAGAGTAGTCTTTTCAACAAATGGTGCGGCAACAATTGGATATCCCCTTGCAAAAGAAAGAAACTGGTCCCCTTCCTTCGAGCATAACCAAAAATTAACTCAGAATGGACCACAGACCTAACTATAAGAGCTAAAGCAATAAAGCTCTTACAAGAAAATATGAAAGTAAATCTTGGATCAGGTAAAAAATTTCTTAGATAAGACACCAAAACCATAAGTAACAAAAGACAGATAAACTGGACTTTATCAAAATTAAAATTTGTGCTGCAAACAATACCATCAAGGAAATGAAAACAACCCACAGAACGAGAGAAAATATTTGTCAATTCTACCTATGACAAAGGACCTGCGGAACCCCCATTTGCCCCTCTGCAGACAGCCACCCAGCGAAGAGGCGCTGCACACCTCCTGGGACCTGTCAGAGCACCACTGACTCAGGACACCAAGTGCATGGCAGATGTTTACAGGAGAGGCTCCCCTGGGAGAAACTGAAGGATCTAGCACTTCTCAATCATGAGGTGAAGACTTTCAAATATCTGAACAACACTGCCTGACAAACTTGCACACCCCATGCTAATCCAGGAGGCTTAAAGCCAGGAGAATCCTAAATCAAATCCTCTACTTTGCACAATGTGTCATCTAGAGCTACGTTTAAATTTTATTTGACAGCCTCTCAGATTATTTACCCTGAATGTACAACCTCTCCAGGCAAGCTCTTTGTGACAGAGTGAATAGCTGCCCCTCCCACCCCCAGGTGTCTGTTATCACAGCTGCTCATTTCAGAGCCCGGTGAAGCACAGGGCATTCTGTTCAGAACTACTCAATAGCCCGGCACCCCACAGACTTCCAGTTCTAGGCAGCTGGGTCCTTTTCTTTGGAGGATTTTCATTAAATGAACAATTTTTAAATGCAAATTAGTATGAGACAGAAGAGAAATATAAGCAGGTACACCTCCAAGTCCCATTCTCAGGCATAACTCAGGATACGTTGGTTTTTTCCCCAGCTTTACTTGTGTAGCTGATAAAAATTTGTATAAATTCAAGGTGTACGCTTGATGTTTTGATACATATATTATGACATAATCACCACAATTAAGCTAACACTTAAGATCTTCCTGCCTCTTGGCAAATTTCAATATACAATACAGCACTGGTGACTCTGGTCACTACACTCCACATCAGAACTTGTTCATCCTGCCTAACCGAAAATGTGGACACCCTGACCAACACCTCCCAGTCCCTGGCTGCCACCCTTCTCTCTGCCTCTATGAGTTCGACTATTTTGACTCCACACAGAAGTGAGATCATGCAGTATGTCTTTCTGCAGCTGGCTTCTTTCACTCAGCATAATGTACTCTAGAGGATACACATTTTAATCAACCCCTTTGAAAGAGGCAATAATAAGTGTATTTACTTTCAATTTTAAAGTAAAAAACAAATGTATTGCTCAAATCCAGTCACCTGTCACTTGTCATAGCTCCATTTCTTCTAAGTGATTTTCACAGGTTTGAGGAACCCCAAATTTTACCTCAAAGGCTAGAACTGGAAGATCTGTCGTGGAAGATACCATGTTCTCTCTAAATTCTAGCAAAGCAAACACATGCCCTAAAACTGTTCTTTACCAACCAGACAGCTAAGAAAGTACAACACACAGCTACCTACACCTTCCTTTCGCTCTGTTGTTGAATTTTAATAGGCAAAAGCTGAGCTGAAAAGAGCCCTCTCAGTTAATGACGATGAGGATGCTAAATCATGTTTCGTATGACTTCGAATCCTTCAGTGGGCACAAGGCCAAGCACCATCTGAGGGCACCAGGCACATTCTCTGATTTGGAGCTCACTCCCGACTCCTGAGGCTACAGCACCGCCTCACATAGGGTGCACTGACAGGCTTCTCTGGAGTTGATGCTGGGCAGTCCCCAAGATGTGACCACCCGAGAGCAACGCCCTGGAAGTGTCAAAGGCTGCCTAGCAGCGAGAACATACAGAACAGGGGACTGGCATGCTCGTTACCCATTCCCCGGTTCTGGCTGGTATTTAACTTTATTAGGATAAGAAATTTTCATCTTTTTAGAGTAAGACAGACACAAAGTAAAATTCTCTGTAATAAAGAACAGCATAAATGAACAAGTAAATGAACATATATGCATCTATGTGTGTGTAACTAAGGTCTTGTGCCCTCTCTGCAACACTGGGCGCCGGGAGCGCTTTATAAAATGTGGCTCTCAGTAACTCCTGGGGCACATCACCCCTTGAGAGGGAAGCACGAGGCCTAGGAGGCTGACTGAGCAAGCTGCCAGGGTCCCCAACCCGACAGGAATCGTAGTGGAAGATGAACCCGAGCCTGACCCCACACCCTGCCACTGCTAACATGGCTCAGTCTGGATGCTGGGACTTCCCAACACCTCAAGTGTAAACCACATAAACATCAGGGTGACGCCCATGAAGCAGAACATCTGAACGATTCCACTGATTTCCACCTGCTACAGTAGGAAAAAGCCAGTTCCCCAAGAATAAAAAAGTTTCCTTTAGTCTGGTTTTTATTTTTAAGTTCATTACCATCTTTATGCCTAGTTCCTCCTCTATCTTTCTTTTTTTTTTTTTTTTAATATATTTTATTGATTTTTTTTACAGAGAGGAAGGGAGAGAGAGAACTAGAAACATCGATCAGCTGCCTCTTGCACACCCCCTACTGGGGATGTGCCCGCAACCAAGGTACATGCCCTTGACTGGAATCGAACCTAGGACCTTTCAGTCCGCAGACCGATGCTCTACCACTGAGCTAAACCAGTTTCGGCCCTCCTCTATCTTTCAAACCAAATTTTATCCTTCTTAATTAATCTATCACAAGGCACACAGACCACTAAACAACAGAAATTTAAGAAAAATGTTTCTGTCCTGACTTCCTAGGATCTTAGCATCCATTCTATCAGAAGTTTGTTTAGTAATTCTATATTTTACCTCGACGTTTTTGAGAAGAGCATCTTCTCTGCCTAAGCCAGGTCCTACAACCAGGGCATGCAGTCGAGGCAACCACTTTTCCACTTCATGAACCGCATCAGGGCTATCACTAAATAAGGAAAAGAAGGGCAGAACAGTTTACTTAAGATTTCATCTGAAACCACAGATTTTTCCCAGTCCCCACCCCAATGTCCTTTTCCTGTTCCAGGACCCCACCCTGCACTTAGGTCTCCTTGTCTTCTCCCAGAGACTGGTTCATCTTTTAACACCCCTACATAGACGTCTAGCTTCCAATATTTAAATGCCATCCAGGGCATTATGCTAAGTGAAATAAGTCAGACAGAGAAAGACAGATATCACACACAATGGTTCTTATATTTATATGTAAGTTAAAATTTAAAAAACACACAACAAGCTCATACAGAGAACAGATCTGTGGTTACTAGAAAAGGGGAAAGTGGAGGGTGAGGATGGGTGCAATGGGTAGAGGAGGTATGAGTTTATTTAAAAAACAAACAAAAAAGAAATGAAGTATGGATATATGCTATGATGAAGCTCAAAAACATTACGCCAAGTGACAAAAGGCAGACACAAAAGACCACATATTGCATGATTCCATTCATATGAATTGTTCAGAAAAGGCAAATACATAGGGACAGAGAGATAAGGTTGCCTCAAGCTAGGGGTGGAAATGGATAGCGGTTTTCTTGCTGGTAATGGAAGTGTTCTAAAATTAGATTGTGATGACAGTAACACTTTGGTAAATACATCGAAGATCATTATACAACTAAAATGAGTGAGTTTTATATTGTAGTAAGCAATGGCACAATAAAAGTTACACACATTAGAAATAGTTAATTTATGAGAGCAATAGTGGAGACACTGGGCCAGACATTAAATATTCAAGCAATGATCCAGGGGTTTGACATAGCTGCCATGAGTAGTGGGTAGCAGAGTCTGATGATGTGAGTTCAAAGGAGCTGAAGGTTTCAGGAATGAGAGCAGGGCAATGGTCTGCGAGGAGCAATGAGGAACAAGGAGGATGCACATCTCACTTCCAGATCCAGTGGTACATGAGGGGTCAAAGGAAAAGCCACCTCCACTTGAAAGGCTTGAAGGGAAAGCCATACTCTCTGGGGACAAGCAGACAAGGTAAAGGAGGGAGTGGCATTAGCAGGGAATAAGGTAAGTACTCATTATGGTAAATAACAAAGACCAGTCTGGCTGAACAGAGTACCAGCAAGTGAATGACATGAGAGAAGTAGAGGCATACACTGTAATGAAATTCAAGCATTCAGAACCTCTCACTTTCTGAGCCCCTTCCAAGGCTCAGGGAGTGTCCTTAGCAATTTATTCAAGTGGTCCATATGGTTTTATAAAATCTGCAAAGGTAAGCACAGGATTTGGGTCTCATCAAAACTCAGCCAAAACAGAACTTCCTTCCCATAAGAAATAAGAGTAAATAATACAGGGTATCCTATCTAATAAAGAGGGAATATGCTAATTGACTGCTACGCCCTCAAAGATGGTGGCACCCACAGCCATAGGATGGTGGTGCCCAGTCGCCTCAGATAGGTGTGCAGCACGGCCACTCTGCATGCCTGCCTCCAGAGTCCCCCAGTACTCTCAACCCCCCAGTCACCCAGGGCCACCCAAGGCTCAGGTAACCAGGGCTGGCCGAGGCTTGCACTGCCGGCAGTGGCAGCAGAGGTGTGATGGGGGCATCGCTTTTCCCAGATTACTGGGTTGCCTCCCAACCTTGAGGGCTCCTAGACTGGGAGAGGGGGCAGGCCAAGCTGAGAGACCCACCCTCCAGTGCATGAATTTTCATACACAGGGCCTCCAGTATAGCTATAAATATAACACCTTTTTTCTCCTTGTTTTTTTTTTTTTTTTTAAAGTCTCATGAAATAAAAATTTACACACACCACAATAAGACATTATGGCTAATTTCAAAATTATCTTGACAGTGTGTTTCCATCACACAGGAGTACAGTTAACAGTGTAGACTTTACACTTACAGACTATCCCCTACATCAGACACTGGGGAAGTTATCTAAAAGGCTTGTGTGACTGATTCCTTTACAACATTAAGAGGGCCCTCCTTTAGAACAAGACCTGACAGCTGCACAGAATTTTGTTGTTGGTTTTTTCACAAGCTGGCCTCTTCCCGCTCCCCACCCATCTGCTCCCAAACAGGTGTTCCCAAATGGGTCCTCCCTACCTACATGCACTCTTGTGTGGCTCACCTTTATCTTTGGGCTTTAAACATCATCCACACATCAACAACTCCCAGATTTACACCTTCCCTGACTGCCCCACCCCTATCCTGTGCTTACCAGCTATACCTGTTTGGCTATCTAACAGGCAACTAAAAACATGTCCAAAACCCAACTCCTGACCACCACCCCCACCCAAACCTGCTCCCCCCGATTCCCAACCACATTAAATGAGAGCTTGCTCAGCCCAAACCCTGGGTGACATTCATGACTGTCTTCTTTCCCTTGTATCCCATGTCCCACCTCTTAGCAGATCCTGGTGCCGTACTTTCCAAATGTACCCAGAACCTGACCCATTGTCCAGTTTTTACCCTGTCATGTACCCATCACCAGGAACCTCACAAGAGATTCCTAGTGGGAATCCTGCTTCCACCCTGGGCTCCTAAAGCTTATACTCAATACAGCAGCCAGATAAGCCTTTTAAAACATAAACCATCCCGTCCCTCCCCTGCTCAAACGCTCCAGCAGCCTCCTTCTCATTTATACAAAAGCCAAAAACCTTCCAATGACCCCCATAATCTGCTAAGCTTGGTTCTGAACCTCTGGCCACCGAGTACCCGAGTGCTCCCCAACACAGCTGCAGCTTGAGCTCTTGCAGCAGCTCTTCCTGTGTATGGAAGGGCCTCCCCCTTTCCCCATGTCTGTAGAACTTGCTCCCTTATTATCTCCAAGCCTTTACTTGAATGCCCCTTCCTGTACCCATGACCACCCTGTTAAACACTGCACACAGAGCACAGGCCCCACACGCACAGCCGCATAGCGTCCCCTTCCCTGCTCCCATCTCCCCAGGGTGCTTATCACCCTGACACACTCTGATCTTGTTTGTCCGTCTCCAGAGCTGTGTTGTCCAATATAGTAGATACTAACCACACATGGCTTTTGAATTTAATTAAAATTAAAGTAAAAACTCAGTGCCTAAGTGCTACTGGCTACATTTTAAGTGCTCAGAAGCCATGTGGTCAGCAGCCACAGTGCTGGACAGCACCAAGGGAGAACATTTTCATCATCAAAGGGCGTTCTGGGGCATGGGAGTAGGCGTTTTGTCTCTAGGTGCAATGCTGTCCCTGTGGAACCCAGGACAGGGCCTGCACGACAGATCTGCTGAATGATGAACAGTTTTGTTACCAACTGATGGGCCCCTCATTCCTGTCATATGGCCACTGTCCACAGACAGGCCCACAGACTCTCCTGGGCCTAAGGAACCTCCAGCCATTTCTGACAGGCCAGCTCTGAGCACATCAGATCTTATCCCATGCGGTCCCACATGACTGTCTTCTTCTGACCACAGACAATGAGCTCATTATAGTTTCCTCCTTTCTTCTAAAACGCTTTACCCCACCAACTCTCATTACGGAAGCCATTTAACCGAGACTCTTAGAGAGTCTGTAAGGACACCACATGACCAAGGAGAGTTGCAAGTAAAGCACCCATGTGCAGCCCCACTCACAGGACCGGATGAACAATCAGCTCCGGGCTGTACGACTTGATCACAGGTGCGGCCTCCCGGGTACAGAACACGTGGGATAAATCTGCTCCCTGAGAAATGAGCACAAGAGGATAACTTAGTGTGGGAATAACTCAAAACATACCCAAAGTGACTTCAGCAACAGCCATTCAACATTTTCATCATCGAAAATTACATAGCACTATCCGTAAAAAAAACCACACACACACACACACACACACACACACACACACACACACACTGTAGCAGTTAAACTACAGGGAGGAGGCTGAGACGGCGTAACCTAAGAAAAGGCCGGAAATAAAGGCAGACTTTTACTGCTGCCCAAGAGACAGGTCAACCCAGACCAGCTCAAGCTGCCTCACTGAACTATGAAGCCCACAGGAAGCAATGCAGCCATGGAGCTGAGCACCACTCACAGTAACTGTGCTGACTGGGTGGTTAGGACTTGATCAAAGGCATGAGCAGCCGCCAAAGTCCAAAATGTCTTATGCTAGAATTGAAAGGCAGCCCAAGATTATTCTGGAGAAGTACAATTCTAATAAAACTTTATTAAAAAAATGAGTTTGAAGTTATTTTATCATTGCACAAGAGATCAGAGTACATTTAAAGATGTTTCTCTTACCCGTAATTACCTGAAGATGTTATCTAGATTTTTATTGGAAAACATTTGCTTTAATCATATTTAAGTAATCCAACTCTTCCTAATAAAGAAGATATAAGTAAACATACCACTTTGAGAGCTGAGATTGCTGCAAAATAAGGGGCTCCAGTGTACCTAAAAAGAAGATATTTACAGTCTAAAACTTGAGAATGAGGCAGGCACACCAGGTTTATCAACAAAAACCATACAGAAGTCAAGCACCTAGCACAGGGCAGAACCCCTAGCAGGTGCTCAGTAAATGTTCAATAAACATGGATCAGAACCAGAAAAGTCAGCTTTCACCTGAGACCTTTGTACTATGTCAGGAGGAGCAGATTCTGGCTTCCTGTGACTACCATCTCCCTGTAATATGTGTGCAAACTGAAGGCTTGAGGTGATGGTTTTAGGGGTTCATACAAATGTCAAACTTATGCAATTATATATCAAGTAGAACTCAATAAAGTAGTTAAAGAATAAGTCTTGTAATATAAAATAGTTCAGCAAGGTTGCCAGATTTCTATCAACCTAAAAATAAGGGGAGGGGAGGGGTATAAAAATAGCATTTTTCTATACTAGGAGTAATAGATTAGGAAATACAATAGCATCTATAATGTCAGCAAAAACCATAAAGCATCTAGGAATTAACTTTATATAACAAATAACAACTGTGGGGAAATTTTTTTTTTTTTTTTTATGTAGGAGAAATATACTACTACTCAACCTCTCCTGCAAGGTTGGCAGCCCTGAGAACTCCTCTCATGTAGCATGTTATGGAGGCATTCCTGCTCCCAAAGGAAGGAGGAGCAGACATATTTCCACATGCAATGTGGGGAAATTTTAAAAATCTATTAAAGAATACATTAGATGTACACTGGCTGAGATGACTTAATATTATTATGACACTTCTTTCTAGATTAATATAAACATAGATATATAGCCAAAACCGGTTTGGCTCAGTGGATAGAGCGTCAGTCTGCGGACTGAAAGGTCCCAGGTTTGATTCCAATCAAGGTTGCAGGCACATCCCTAGTAGGGGGTATGCAGGAGGCAGCTGGTCGATGTTTCTAGCTCCTATCCCTCTCACTTCCTCTCAGTAAAAAAATCAATAAAATATATTTTAAAAAACAAAAAAACATAGATATAAAAAGTACTTGATTTATCAGAAATGCACACAGCTGCAAGTAGACGAAATTGTAACAGCATTTGAACAAAACTGGAGCTTTGTTAGCAAGGAAGATGGGTAGGAATATTAATTAGGAGGGAAAAAGCATCCCCAAAACTAAAGACTTAAGACAGTGAGAGTTTACTGAAGGCATCTGCCAGGAGAGAGTGTGCCTGAGGTGGTTATAGGCCAGAGCACCCCACACTGGACAGTACCCAGGGAGCAGGACCAGTTTCTGGGAGCAACAGTAAGCACAGGCAATGGTCATCTTGATGGAGGGCCACACGGGGCACCCAGCCCAAACAAGAAGAGACTCTCACACCTTCCTCTGGCTCCCATCCTTACTGCTCTGGAATGCTTGTAACTCTACTTTTAAGGTCACTTCAAGCACAGAAAGAAAAACCCTTGAACTTAGCATCAGATGGTGACTGTAACTTTTATGTCAATTCCAAGCAGTGAAAAGTTTTGCTATCCCAGGAAAAACACCTTGGGGAAATGCAGAGTGCACTCTATATCCATGACACTCCCCTGCAGAGCAGGGCCGATGTACCAGAAACACCAAAGGACAGGGCATGCCACACACACACAAACATACACTCGCTCACACCAAAACACGAATGCAATCCTCACTACCAAAAGCAATACACTGAACCAACAATATAGCTTTCCTACTTGAGAGCAAAGGCTGCCTATACCCATAGGGTGTGAGGGGAACAGGTGCTTGTTTTTTTGTTTTTATTTTGTAAAATATATTTTTATTGTTTTGGAGAGGAAAGGAGAGGGAGAGATAGAAACATCAATGATGAGAGACTCCTACTGGGGATTGAGCCTGCAACCCAGGAATGTGCCCTTGACCAGAATAGAACCCGGGACCCTTCATCTACCAGCCAATGCTCTATCCCACTGAGCCAAACTGGTTAGGGTAAACAGTGCTTGTTGATGGCAGCACACTCTAGTGCCATTTTGGGAGAACAATTTTCAATATATATCGACATTAAAATGTCTATGTACTCTGCTCCAGTAAAAATTCTTCTAGGAATTGTTCTCTTGATTTAACCAGACTAGAGGCCCGGTGCACGAAATTCATGTGTGTGTGTGTGGGGGGTGTGTGGTGTCCCTCAGCCCGGCCTGCACCCTCTCCAATCTGGGACCCCCCCTTGGGGGATGTCAGATATCCCTCTCACAATCTGGGACTGCTGGCTCTTAACCACTCACCTGCCTGCCTGCCTGCCTATAACCGCTTCTGCCTGCCAACCTGATTGACACCTAACTGCTCCCCTGCCATCCTGATCACCCCCAAATGCCCTCCTCTGCTGGCCCAATCGCCCCCAACCGCTCTGCCCTGCTGGCTTGATCTCACCCCCAACTGCCCTCCCCTGCTGACCTGATGGCCCCCAACTGCCCTCCCCTGCCAGCCCGATCACCCTCAACTGCTCTCCCTTGCTGGCCTGGTTGCCCCCAACTGCCCTCCCCTGCTGGCCTGATCTTACCTCCAACTGCCCTCCCCTTCTGACCTGATGGCCCCAAACTGCCCTCCCCTGTTGGCCTGATTACCCTCAATTGCTCTCCCATCGGCCTCCCCTGCCTGCCATCTTGTGCAGGCCAACTTTTGGTGGCCATCTTGTGATGACATCACACGTGACTTCACCCAGGCTTTTATTATATAGGATGGGCACACAAGGAAATATATAAAGGGATGTCTACAGACAGATTGTTAACTAAAAAAAAGGATATTAACCAACTGCCTATCAACAGGGACTTGGTGAAATAAATTATGGCACATCTGTACAATGAATACCATATATTCACTTACCCACTCATAATCAGTCTAGCCCTAGCCAGTTTGGTTCAATGGATAGAGAGCTGATCCTCAGACTGAAGGGTCATGTTTTTTGTTCCAGTCAAGGGCACCGGTCAAAGATATGTACCTGGGTTGCAGGCTCAATCCTCACCCTGGTTGGGGTGTACGCAGGAGGCAACCAATCGATGTGTCTTTCTTACATTAATGTTTCTCTCTGTTTCTCCCCCTCCATTCCACTCTCTCTAAAAATCAATGGAGCCTTAGCTGGTTTGGCTCAATAGATAGAGTGTAAGCCTGTGAACTGAAAGGTCCCAAGTTCTATTACAGTCAAGGGCACATGCCTAGGTTGTGGGCTTGATCCCCTCTAAGGGGTGTGCAGGAGACTAAGTAGACTTCTTTTCCCTCTCCCTTCCTCTCTGAAACCAATAAACAAACAAACAAACAAAAATCAATGGAAAACATTTCCTCAGGTGAGGATTAAAAACAAGAGAGTAGTCACTGTCAGTCAATCATATTAGGTAAGAAAACAAAATCTAGTTATATATTATTTAAAATAAGTATAGCCAACTACCTAAACCATTAAAAATACAGGGTTAGGTAAAGAGCACACAGAATGTAAGCAGAAACAGAAATACTAAACAAGGCAGTAGGTATCATTTGCAAGCATGGACAAATTATAAATCTTTATGTGTCAAACAACCTAGCAGCAGAATATAGAAAACTAGAAGAGAGAATAAGGCCTTAAAAAAAGCTAGGATCTGTCTAATTTAATAAATAACTTCCAGGAATATCTTTAAATTAACAAAGTAAACCAAGCATGCTGAGTGTTTTTATCCTCATTACAAAAGTAATACATGCTTATGGTATAAGTCTGATCAATAGAGAAAAGTATAAGAAAAAATAGTCCCAATCTCCCAACCACAGGCAAAATCTTTACACTAACACACACCAATGAACAGCTCAATCAGGGCCCCTTATCGTTTTCTCCTATCCAACCTTAAAGTTCATCACTGAAAAATACCAAATATCATATCAGACTACTGGGGGTTCAACTAGACAGATAGACAGTTGACTGGACAGCTGATAGGCAGGTAGACAGCCAGATAATAAAGATTAACTGTTTAAACACTAACATTTTCCAAGTCACTTACTCTTGGCAGCCTCCAACTATGCCTATTCTTCCAGCTTGCCCTTTGTGCTTCTTGGAAGTTAGAGGAGGGATAATATTTTTCACCAATTGAAAAGTATTTTCCATATCCTTTATCGAATGTGCTTTATGCAGCGAGAATGCTCTTTTTAAAACTGAAAAACAGGAAAATAAAATTCCTTAGAATGGTAAATATCTATTGGTATATATAAAGAACAGAGAGTTTAAAAAAAAAATCATCCAGTAACCAAAATACTTCCGCAAGTTGACTCAACATGAATGTTACAGATTTTTACCCACTGATTCCATTATTTTATTTCTGTAAGCAAATGATGTTCAGAAATTACAACACTAACACATGTTGTATATGTCATTTATTTTTTAAATGGATCAGACATTTTGGAAGTCTACTTAATCTCAGGAAGTTTTTTAAAAATACATTATTAACTAATAAACTACACATATTACATTTCAACTGTAGCTTAAGTTAATTCATCTCTTCTCTCAAATTGGAAAAGCAATCTTCCATGTTACCTTCCACTGAGACTCATATTATTTCCCCATTTAATTTCCCAGTCATCTTTCCAACACTGAATTAGATATCAATTAAATAACCTAGAAATGGCATTCTAAATATACCCGTGTTTCCCCGAAAATAATACATCCTCCGAAAATAAGACCTAGCACATGGAAAGATAAGACATCCCCTGAAAATAAGACCTAACGCAACTTTGGGAGAAAAAATTAATATAAGACACTGTCTTATTTTCGGGGAAACAGGGTAGAACAAATCTTACACTGGGTTCACAGGCATTTTGAATTGTCTCTAAATAGCTCATTTTAATTGGCCTTTCTTAAAAACAAGGCATTCAATATTTTTATCCTTTCAATTATTTCAGCAGCTGAGAAAAACTAGACACATCACAAGTTCAAGTGAAGATCAGAAGCAGGCTCAGTTCCACGTGGTCAAACAGCTTCACCTTTATTTTTTTTAAATATATTTTATTGATTTTTAACAGAGAGAAAGGGAGAGAGATAGAGAGCTAGAAACGTCGATGAGAGAGAAACATCGACCAGCTGCCTCTTGCACACCCCCTACAGGGGATGTGCCCGCAACCAATGTACATGCCCTTGACCGGAATCGAACCTGGGACCTTTCAGTCCGCAGACCGACGCTCTACCACTGAGCCAAACCGGCTTCGGCATAGCTTCACCTTTAGTAACACTCTTATTAGAGTTTTACTTTTTATTCAACAAAATTATTCAAGTAACTTCCTTTAATGAGTAGATGTAAATGCCTCTTTAGCTGATATATCAGCTGTTTAGACCCCAAGTTGCAAAGAGAACATTAACTTCAGCCCAAACACCTTTGAACCAACACAGGATTAAAACTCAAAACAATCACTGTAAACTAGGCTCAGGCAAGGATCAATACAACTGGCTGATCCTTGCTCCCACTGGTTTTCCTCATATGCTACATTCTGCTCCGATGCAGTGTCCATAGTAGTTCTTCCCATCCTGACTCAGAGCCTGTTGGCAGAGATGCTGAGCTAAGAGAGTAAGTCCACTCTCACTCCACCCCCACCACCATCATCAGCTTTCTGCAGTTACTGTGAAATGCTCTTTCCTGGCGTTCCCTGATGAGCTGCATGAAAGGACCCAGAGCTGTTATAATCAGATTTAATGACGGCATCTCTGACTGCAGATGAGCAGATTATGCGGTCAGGAAAATGTTTGCCATGCAGGTTTCAAACTTGAACATATGTAGCTTAATAATAAATATGACTGGCCCTGACCGGTTTGGCTCAGTGGATAGAGCGTTGGCCTGTGGACTGAAGGGTCCCAGGTTCGATTCTGGTCAAGGGCATGTACCTTGGTTGCAGGCACATCCCCAGTGGGGAGTGTGCGGGACGCAGCTGATCGATGTTTCTCTCTTACTGATGCTTCTAACTCTCTATCCCTTTCCCTTCCTCTCTGTAAAAAAAAAAAAAAAAAAAAAAAAAAAAAAATCAATAAAATATATTTAAAAAATAACAAATATGACTGGTTAATACAAGAATACTAGATAATGTCTCTCCCTCAAATTCCCCAGAACAATAAGCACAACTGCTTAAAGATAGCAACAAAGGCTAGAAATTTTAAAGACAGAATCTAAAGTTACCAGTCACTCAAGGGTTGTTCTGGGTCCCTATGTTTTGGGTTTTTAGATACCATCACTTTATACTAAACACTTAACCCCCACAAAATACCCCTAAAACCACCCCAACACCTTTTGCTTGCACAGAATGTGGTAAGGCATCCCTCCCACCTGTGGCTTAAAGGGAAAGTCTACATATTTCCATGTTGGACCCCAACCCTCAATTGCCTCAGAGAGTCTGGCATAGAATAAGAAATTCAATAAATGTCTGAGGAAGTAAAGACATCTTGATTCTCTCTCCTCATTAGCAGTAAGTTTATCCATCTTTTACAAATGAAACTGAGGCCCAAAGAGACAGTCCTGTGAAGATGCCTCTGTTAGTAATGGATAAGCTGGGGCAGAAGACACCATTTTACCAAAATGTTGCCATTTTAAGGCAAAATAAATAATTTTCCTTTAACCAAATATTCACCCCATCAATCAAAAGACGAATCAGTTGCTCCTCAAATGGCTTCTGAAACCATTTGCGAGAGAGGGGAAAAAAATCACTGTTGATAAGTGTAGTATTTTCAATTTTTAACTGAAACTGTATAAATGTAAAATCCACACTCTGCTCCAGCGTTCTGTCCCACTCACCTGAGATGAACTCCTGTTAGTGAAAGGAGCAAAGAAAAGGCCAGTTAAATTTCCCCTAAACTTCACAGTGAATCTGTTTCAGCTGGCTTATTGACATTCTCCATTTGGAATTATCCAGAAATATCCTATATAATAAAAGGGTAATATGCAAACTGACCCTAACGGTGGAACAGCCAGTCACTATGACATGCACTGATCACCAGGGGGCAGACGCTCAATGCAGAGCTGCCCCTTGGTGATCAGTGCGTTCCCACAGAGGGAGCACCACTTAGCCACAAGCAGGGCTGAAGGCTGCGAGTGCAGCAGCAGTGAAAGTGACGGGAGCCTCTCCCACTTCCTCAGCAGTGCTAAGGATGTCTGACTGACAGTTTAGGCCTGATCCCCTTGATATCCCCCAAGAAGTCCCAGGTACGAGAGGGCACAGGCCAGGCAAGGACCCCCTGAGTGCATGAAAATTCTATAGGCCTCTAGTCTGTCTGTCTATATATATATCTATATATATATATATATATATATATATATATATATATATATATATATATATATATATATAAAAGCCTACCTGACCATACAACTGGTAGCTATGACATGCAATGACCACCAGGGGGCAGATGCTCTGACCAGTAGCTATGACGGACACTGACCACCAGGGGCATGCACTCAAAGCAGGAGCTGCCGAGCTTTGGTAACTTGGCAGCTACGGTTCTCCGGTGATGCACCCAGAACCAGAGAGGAGGAAGCCCAGGTGCATCACCCGAGAACAGCCCTCTTGCAATCTCCGCAGAGAACGTCAGAAAGCCAGTTTCGGCCCTATCCAGCGGGATAAGCCTAGAGACCCACCTGGTGCATGAATCCACACACCAGGCCTCTAGTCTATAATAATAAAAGGGTAATATGCTAATTAGGCCAGAAGTCTTCCAGATGTCCTGCCTGATGAAGGGGGCTGGAGGGAAGCCAGCCTGGGTCCCAGGTGCCTGCGGGCAGCCCGAGGAGGGAAGCCCGGGTCCTGGGTGCCAGAGGGAAGCTGTTGCCGACAGCCGGGGTAAGGAAGGCCTACTCTTGCATGAATTTTCATGCAGTGGGCCGATAGTCTTGAAGGACAAAAAGGCCTGGACAAGAGGTGACTTAAAATTTATCCTATTATGTAACTTTGTTTTCATAACAATTCTGAGTCTGGGAGAACAGGTAAAACCGGCCTGCGTTTTATTTGTTTTGGAGAAGTGTGGCTGAGGAAGTCTGGAGAATCACACAGATTTCTTAAGCCTGGGCTGTTTTCTGGAATTGCACCTGGAGAGGTAGAAGGAGACACTATGCTACAGACAGCCTTCAAACACAGGAGGTAGGGCAGGGAAGAAAATAAACAACCTTATTTTATTTACACAGTGAGGAAACTCAGGTCCACTCAAAAGTGAATAAGGAATTCCTAACAAACACAGCTTTGCCACTTGCAACTTGCCACTCACAGCTTTCTTGAGACCGATGTCTGTGTGCGAAGACCATAACTCGAGCACATGACAGCAGTGCTCAAGTTAACGGAGATGGGCCTTAAAGCGAGGATGGATAGAAAGGGCACCACCACCTGCTTTTAGTAAAGTTCAGCAAGTCAGTCTAATAATGAAACCTCACATTCAAAGGAAATCATACTAACTAAATCATAGTATGTGCAGTTAAAGACAAACAGCTACCAATAAAAAGTCTCAATAAGGCCGAAACTGGTTTGGCTCAGTGGATAGAGCGAAGGTCTGCGGATTGAAAGGTCCCAGGTTCGATTCCCGGCAAGGGCATGTACCTTGGTTACAGGCACATCCCCAGTGGGAGGTGTGCAGGAGGCAGCTGATCGATGATTCTCTCTCATCAATGATTCTAACTCTCTATCCCTCTCCCTTCCTCTGTGAAAAATCAATAAAATATATATTTTAAAAAAAGTCTCAATAAGTTGGTGCCTAGAAAGCCCCTCTACTGCCGGTATGAGTGAGGCGCTAAGGAACCCCTCCATTCTCCTCAAAGCCTTCGGACCCGCCTAACAATACAGGGCCAAACTCCCTAACAGTGACTCTCGCCGCATCCTGCCTGAAAGCTCGGGGCCTCGACCCACGCGCCGCGCACAGGCCGCGCACCACTCTGCTCCCAAGGACCGGCCCCACCGGCGCACCGTCCCCGCCTGGACCAGCGGCCGCGGCCGGGTACCTGCGTCCAGCGGCGGCCCGTAGAGCGCGAGCGCGGCCGAGAGCAGCACGACAACGGCTGCGCCGGCGACTGCAGCCCCCAAACCCGCCGGCCGGGCCATGCCGTATGGATCTTACCTCGCTGGCAGGCCTGGGCTGCAAGCCAGCCGGGAGCCACAGCCATGGGCGAACTTCCGGGCTCCCGCCCGCCCCGCGCCGCCGCCGGAACCAAAGTCGCCGGGGGAACTTCTGGGGTCCGGGCTGCCTCTGCGCTGCCACCGGACGTTAGTTCCCTTTCGCTGTGGCCGGGGTTTGGCTTCTTGCACGCTCCCTGGGTCCGCTGCAGTTTCCCTGGAAGGTGGATTGAGGTGTCGAGATGCCTCTTAATGCATCTTGAGTTGTTTTTATCGTTTCTTTTCTGTAATGCAAGGGGCATTCTAGAAAGTAACGGAGGCAGAAAGCCGCTCATTTTACCGCTTCAGCCACATGCTTCCAGGTGTGTAGAAAGTTAGCTCCAATGGAAAAGCTTTATCTTTTTCTCTGTTGTATTCTGAACATGATACATGGTAGGTTAGGTGTTCACTCTGTCTTTCTTGAGGTGTAATTTACATAACAATAAATGTTACTAATTTTAACCGTACAAGTCTATGAGTTTTAGCAAATGTGTACAATCATGTAATCACCACCACAATCTTGATTTAGAACTTTTCTGTCCATACACCCAAATCATGCTTTTGTTTTGATACTATTATGCTATTTTAAAAAAAAAATTTAATTTTTTTTATTAAATTATTATCTGTGTACATATTTTACCATTGCCCCCCTCCTCCATACATACCCACCCTCCCCAGAGTTTTGTGTCCATTGGTTGTACTTATATGCATGTATACAAGTCCTTCGGTTGATCTCTTATCTCCCCCAGATCTCCCTCCCCTCTCCGCTATAATTTGACAGTCTGCTTGTTGCTTTACTGTCTCTATTTTGGTTCATCAGTTTATAATGTTGTTTAATATCCATAAATGAGTGAGGTCATGCGGTATTTCTCTTTCATTGACTGGCTTATTTCACTCAGCATGATGTTCTCTAATTCTATCCAGGTTGCTGCAAATGATGAGAATTCCTTCTTTTTTATGGCAGCATAGTATTCCATTGTCTAGATGTACCATCTTTTTTGATCCAATCATCTGCTGACAGGCACCTAGGCTGTTTCCAAATCCTAGCTATTGTAGATTGTGCTGCTATGAACATAGGGGTGCATATATCCTTTCTGTTTCTAGTTTCTTGGAATACAATCTTAGGAGTGGGATTACTGGATCAAATGGGAGTTCTATTTTCAGTTTTTTGAGGAAACTCCATACTGTTCTCCACAGTGGTTGCACCAGTCTGCATTCCCACCAGCAGTGCACAAGTGTTCCTTTTTCTCCACAACCTCGCCAACACTTGTCGTTTGTTGATTTGTTGATGTTGGCCATTCTGACAGGTGTGAGATGGTACCGCATTGTTGTTTTGATTTGCATCTCTCGGATAATTAGTGACTTTTAGCATGTTTTCATGTGCCTCTTGGCCTTCTTTCTGTCTTCTTTTGAAAATATTCTATTTAGGTCCATTGCCCATTTTTTAATTGGATCATTCATTTTTCTTTTATTTAGTTGTATAAGCTGTCTGTAGATGTTGGAGATTAAACCTTTATCAGTGATAACATTTGCAAATATGTTCTCCCATACAGTGGGCTTTCTTGATGTTTTGTTGATGATTTCTTTTGCTGTAAAAAAGCTTTTTATTTTGATGCAGTCCTATTTCTTTATTTTCTCTTTGGCCTCCATTGCCCTAGGGGCAGTATCAGTGAAGAAGTTCTTTTGACATATGTCTGAGATTTTGCTTCCTGTGGATGCCTCTAGTATTTTTATGGTTTCCCGTCTTATGTTTAAGTCCTGTATCCATTTTGAGTTTATTTTTGTGTATGGTGTAAGTTGGTGATCTAGTTTCATTCTTTTGCATGTATCTTCCAATTTTTCCAACACCATTTATTGAAGAGACTGTCTTGACTCCATTGTATATTCCTGCCTCCTTTGTCAAATATTAATTGAGCATAGTGATTTGGATTGATATCTGGGTTCTCGATTCTATTCCATTGATCTATATGTCTGTTCTGTGCCAGTACCAGGCTGTTTTGAGAACAGCTTGAAATCTGGTATTGAGATCCCTCCTACTTTACTCGTCTTTCTCAGGATTGCTGTGGCTATTCAGGGTCTTTTATTGTTCCAAATGAACTTTTGGAGAGTTCTTTCTAGGTCAGTGAAATATGCCATTGGTATTTTAATGGGGAGTGCATTGAACCTATAGATTGCTTTGGGAAGTATGGACATTTTGATGATGTTGATTCTATCAATCCATGAACATGGTATGTACTTCCATCTGTTTACATCTTCCTCTATCTCTTTTTTCAGTGTCGTGTAGTTTTCCCCATATATGTCCTTTACTTCCTTAGTTAAGTTTATTCCTAGGTATCTTAATTATTTTGGTGCAATGGTAAATGGGATTGCCTTTTTAGTCTCTGTTTTATTTTTAAATTTTAAATATATATATATTTAATGTAGTACGACACTCTATAACATAGTTGAGAGACAATGTTCCCGAGCTACTTCTGTTCATAACAGTGTGTGGGAAGTTGTTTGATAAGAGAGGAAGAGAGAGGGATAGAGTTAGAAACATCGATGAGAGGGAAACATCGATCAGCTGTCTCTTGCACACTCCTGGGGATGTGCCTAAAATCAAGATACATGCCCTTGACTAGAATAGAACTTGGGACCTTTCAGTTCAAAGGCTAACACTATCCACTGAGCCAAACTTGTTTCAGCTTAAATTTTTAATTGTTAATTGCATATACGTGGAAACACGATTGATTTTTATATATTGACCTTGCTAAATTCCTTTATTAGTTCTAGCAGATATTTTTGAAGATAATAGTTTATATACTTTGACCTTCCTAAATTCATTTATTAGTTGTAGCAGACATTTTTGAAATTACTTGGGATCTTCTATATAAGCAGTCAGTTTGCTCCATTTTTTTTTTTTTTTTTTTTTTTTTTTTTTTTTTTTTTTGTGGCAATAACTTCAACTTCAATCATTTGGTAAGGTGGTATCCACCAGGTTGTTCATTTCCAGTATGAACTCCTGAATTTTTGTTTTATTTGGTACAAATTCATGTATTTTTATTTATTCAGAATTATTTATTTATTATCCACTAGGTTACTTACTGCTAGTATGAATTCATTTTAATTTTGTTGTATGCATTTGTCTTAATTAATTTATATATTACATTACCCTTTTTTAATATTTTAGATGAAACGTGTTGAAATATTTATATTTCTTTTTAAATATACTTTGTATTATTGACCAGGGGCCCAGTGCAGTGCACAGGGGGTGGGTTCCTCAGCCCGACCTGCACTTTCTCCAATCTGGGAGCCCTCTCCAATCTGCGAGTTTCTTTCTCTCTTTTCAATCATATGAGTGAATTGTCTGAGACCCCAACCCAGTGTGGTTTGTTGCTCACAGAAAAATAGAGGCATTTTTTTCCCTTTGCTTCATTGGTGGAGATTTCCTGAAAGTTTTAGGCTATCTTCCCTTTAATTTTTCCTAGACACTCTGATTTTACTTATGTCTCTCACCTTTGCTTTCTCTCCATCCCTTATCACAACAGTAACTTGCACCAGGCTCACTTTGCTCTAGGCAGGCGTCTTCAAACTTTTTAAAGTGGGGGCCAGATCACGGTCCCTCAGAGAGCTGGAGGGCCGGACTATATGAACTACTAATTCCTACTGTAACACCTCGGCTGCGCTCACTGCCCAAAAAACCTGGCGGGCCGGATCAGACTCCTCTGCGGGCCGCATGTGGCCCGCGGGCTGTAGTTTGAAGACGCCTGCCTAGTGTCTAGGACACATGTGTCAAACACAAGGCCCGCGGGCCAAATCCGTCCGCCAGGCCTTGCAATGTGGCCCGCACCGCGCTGTCATCACTGCACTCCGCTGCGTTTCCATCACAATGACAGTTTATGACTGTTCAGTAAACCATTTGGCCCGCGATTTAGGCTGGATTTTAGATTTTGGCCCCTTCTCTGATTGAGTTCGACACCCCTAGTCTAGGAGATCCTTCTGCCACCAGAACTACAATTCCTAGCATTCCTGGTGCTCCCCACACTCTGGGTCTTCCCTTCCTGCTCTGTCTACATTCCATGGCCTCCCACTCTGCCAAGTCCTCCAAACCACCAGCTCTCCCTCTCTGCTCTCCGTCTGGTGGCTTGAGGGGCCAAGTTTTCCAAGCCGCTCCACTCTCGACTGGCTGTTTGTTCTGCTCTCCACCTGGTGCCATCTTTGTTGGGTTAATTTGTATACTCGCTCCTGATTGGCTGGTGAGTGTAGCAGAGGTACAGTCAATTTACATGTTTCTCTTTTCTATATAGGATAGTATTACAATATTTCCCCTTTCCCCCTTTCACCACCATCCTCCCTACCCACCCCCTGAAATATTTACATTTTAATGGGTCATCTGGGGCCCCCAGCTTTAGAGTCATCTCTGATTCTTGGATATTGTGAGTCTACCTTTCTTCAGAATGCTCAACATGATTTTTTTCTTGTGTGCCCCTTCCCTCAGATTTTGGGGAGGAGGGGAGCTATGTATAAATTAAGAAAAAATGTATCTCTGGATCTTTCTTACTCAGCTGTGAAACTGTTAAGCATGAGAGTTGGCACTGCCCAATGGTAGCATTGTGGTGGAAAGATGTAAGAGAAAATATGTGCAGCTCATTGGACACTGATCTACTTCATGGTATTAGTATGATTTGCCTTCCAATGCCAAAACGACGAAGGAAAAGATTACCAGTTCAAAATGTATACACTCATTTAATTTCTTTTACATCACCTCTGAAATAAGACACGTTGATCCATCTCTCTGGCCAGGTTGAAAGGTGAATGTGGACGAGAAAGAGGCCACATACTAAACCTAACTGGCTCAGGGGAGGCCTGTATGGTGGGCCTTACAAACTTAGACCTAAAGTAGCCACATAGGATATCTAAAATTAAAACTTCTTAACTAAAAGCAAGTCATGACAGGTAGTCATGTCCTAGGTATCTTTCTTGATGAGGGAAGCTGAGCCTGTCTATTGTCTTTTTGCATCCAAGATAACATACCTTTGGAATGTCAGAGTAATCCCCTTTTTCCCAGACCTCTCAAGAGCGCAATCTCCCACCAGAACATGAGACCACAGAACCCCTATTATTATCTTGTTGC